AATCCAGATACATATAAACACGTTTCAACTGTAAAAGTATTGGTGTCATTTCCAGAATGCAGCATGATTGCACAGTGGATATAACTGCTGCTCCAGCTCCAGGGTCCTGGATTCAGATCTGAGCCTGAGTGTATTGATGCACCATTCAAGATCCCTTCCCTTATTCGGGGCGGAGAGGTGGCTCTGTGGCTAAGGATCTGCGCCTGTGACTGGAAGGTTGCCGGTTCAAATCCCGCAGCCGGCAGAGGAATCCTACTCTGTTGGGCCCCTGAGCAAGGCTCCAACTGCTCCAGGGGCACCGTACAATGGCAGACCCTGCGCTCTGACCCCAAGCTTCCATGGAGAAAAGCTGGGGTATGCGAAAAGATGAATTCCTAATGCAAGAAATTGTATAGGGCTAATAAAGAAACATTAACATTATTCCACTTCTCTCACTGCCATGTACACTGTAACCTTCATCCCTGCTAGGTGGATTCAGCTCTCCCTGATAAATCTGTGAGCAGAAGGGTACCTGGCCGGCTACAGTCGAGGAAAACGTGGGGCAACTTTGAAAACTCAGTCCTGTCCAAAGCCACTTACAACTCTGTCCAACTCTGCAAACCCACAGCCCTTCTGCATTTTAAGTTTAGTTCAGCTTTTTTGAACAATTGTTTCAGGTAGAAGGGTGTAATGCTTATTTTGTATTTTGTACCAAGAGATTTGGCTATTTTTAGTTTGTGAGCCAATTTGAAAAGCCAGAACATAGTTGCCCATTTATATTAATAAGGAGTATTAATCATCTTTATTTCTAACCACTCACCAATCACTGCCCTATTATTAAGACAGTTGTACATTCAGCAACGGAGTGCCCAAATCTTCTCATAGATGCTGTCATCTTTCCCTGCACGTGTACTTTGCAGAGTCTAATTTTTATTACGCTAACATTCAAGACCACACTGCTGTGGTCCACTGGAATACGTTACATTGCTTGTATCGTATGTGCCTACAAATTCTGATGATTGGCAGCCCTCAAAGTGAAGGCAGTCCAATAAACATTGCCATCCTGTAATCAAGGCCACTTGAGATTCTTTCAGAAATGGGGGGGATTAAATTGTCAGGTGATTAAACTATTAACGAGCTTGCTGCTTTTCACAAGGAAAATGTACTTGTAGTCCACAATAAGGTGGATGGTGTTGGCCTGCTTTTACGTACAAGGCCTGCATGCAAGTGTCGATTCATGAAATGAAAGCGCACACACACCAGGGTTCTATAAACTAAAACGGTCTGAAACTCATCCTGTTTAGTGCAGACAACAGGAAGAAGCCCAGCGGCTCCTGCACTAGATGCGAGAAGCCTTTAGAAGTAAAAGACGCAGCCAATTGCGTTTAATTTTATTGACTGAATTTTCAAATGTCCATTTGATTTAACTTTCTTGCTATATTAACATACACCTTAAAAACACTTCTGACAGCTGTCCAATCTAGAAAAATGAATAGATGTATTGCATATACACAGTTTACATGCAGGGGCAAGGTACTAAATTATATTAGAGGCATCTAAAAACATGTAATATGGTATATAAATATACCCACAAACACACACCTGCAACTGACACTCCAGAAAGTGTCACACGTTTATCAATGTACCGATTTAAACCAGTATTTTACTTGAAGCAAACCAGACAATAATGCTTAAATGCATGTGGTAGGTTTTAAAATATTTAAGCATAAACCAAAGAGTGTGGAGAGGTATCCTTACTTTTAATGTAAGGAATCTATTTTAGTGCTACTTCCTTTTCAACCTGCACACAAAACTACCTATGACCACACTGCAAACACTCACCTGCGATAATGACGTCCCCTCCATGCCTCACGTTTGACTTTTCCACCCTAGTGGAGTATATGAATACTTTTTTTTTTAACCAAGCACCTAAAGGGCCATTAATTAACCCTGCAGCCAGTACCTGCCTGCAGTCAAGAAACTGCTGGATCTTTGGGTCAATAAGCTACCACCTAATAAGGTGGGCTGATTGCCCTTCTCTCGTTTGTATTCATTACTGAATGAGCAAGATGGACAAAATGGCCTGCACTCATTTGTGATCCTTCTTTTCTTGAGATTGCCCCTTATCCAGTAGTTTTCCCCAACTCCATGCAATGGAAATGACCAAGCAAACAGGATGCTGGGTGAAAAAATATGCAGATCTGATATTTAAGAAATTTAGGTCACAGCTGTCAGGAAGCTTATAAGATTCCACCTCAAAATTAACTACTGGCATCACCTGGGCTTTCCAAAGTACACTTGGCTGAACTGTGAATTTTTTCATAGATATTTTCCTCCCTCAATTAGAATGATAAATGGAGGAAAAAAAGCTACCAAAAGTATATACAATCTAATATAAATTGTCATTTAAAATTCTTATTGGATTATTTACAGGTTCTGTAGGAAAAACATGACAAGGGCACCAGGACAATGGTTAGCAGACTGTGTATTTTCTTGAGCAATGGGTAATGAGGAGCTGGTGGTGGCAGTGATTTCTGAGGTGTTTTCAGGAGCTGCTCCTGTCTCGGATGCTGTAGGCGTTTCCCTGCTGGCTATTTTCCTGAAGATCGCTCTCATGGTGACTGGTATTGACATACACCTGGAGAAATAAAATACATGTACACCAGTTGCATAATAAGCAGTCTGCAGTGGATGCCACTTTTTAAAATCATGAAATCATGCTCCTTTGCATTCATGTATTGAGATATGAAGAGGCAGTCCCAGAATTCATACTATTGCTTTCAGGTCATTAAAATGGATCACCTACAGTAAGTATTCTTCAGTTTAAGGAGGAAAAAAAACACTAATCTCTAGGTTTCACATCCTGCTATAACAGATTTAAATGAACTATTCATGAGGAAACCAATAAAAATGGATATATCTCATGCTTTTGTATTTTAATTTGGCTACTGATGCATTTATTCTTCAAACTATACAATAGCATTTCATGTACAGGATGTTCTTCTTTACAAAAGGCACATGGTTAAGCAAGGAGGAGAAAATTTTGTGTTCTTTGAAGAAATGCTCTGCGTAGCCAAGAGTCCTGTTAAAAATGCCTGTTGCAGAAATAACACAAAAAAAAAATCTAACACCAGTTAAGAACTAGGTTGCTTATGCACAAACAAGCTTCGGTTCAAGGTTATAGATTGTTATTCAGCATTTAAGCATGATCTCCAAGGGCAGAGCAAAAATTACAGTACCAGTTAAAAAGTTTAAATAACTTGTGGCCATGATTCTAAGAAAAAAGTATTAATGCATTACAGTAACTAACAGGTCAGTGCCCACATAAATTCCACATGAATGTCAACATACTGCGTACTGCTCACCATAATTAATGGTCATTTTTTCACTTCACTGAATGGGATTTCATTTTAGAGACGATAGCTAGCCAGGATGCCAAGACACTGATATGTGCATTTCTGAGATAATTCCTTATCCTAATGGCCCTCTGAGCTGTGAAATTATTATGCATGAATGTGAAGCCAGGCACGTGTTGCTGGAGGAGAAGTGCCACAACATATTCATCTCAACAGTACTGGCACCAATCCAAAAATTATCTTGGGAGTCATTGTGTAGCTGGCTCAGCGCTACACAAATAATTGTGAAGAGGTGTCATTCCTATGAAACAGTCCTGGAAAGTAATGTTTTAATTTGCAGCTTTCCAATTTTAGATAGGTCATGTGGTCCTGCTTACTTACAAACACCTTTTGAGATACAAGGCAATTCTGCATTCGCTCAAGAGACATGCAGCTCAGAGTAACTGAGGGACATATCTGTTAACTCCTCGGCTTCTCAGCTTCAGTTTTAATGCTTAACAGTGGCATTAAATGTTGCGTTACTACTCAAAAAGCAAATGTTGTGTATATCATACAGTTTACTTATTCACAATGTGCCTTTCAACAAACATGTTAAAACACCTGCCTGTGTACCACTGTGGTTTCTTTTTCTGGAGTTTCTCATTTCTATCATAATTCATATAGCTCCGACATTAATTTCATACAGTTTAAACAACAATTCCATACCTTTTCATAACCTTGGAAATCCAGTCATCTATTGAAGGATCGGGTACTTCAGGAGGGAACAGCTTGCAGCTAATATGGTTTGAATCCACAACATTCACAAAAACTGAAAAATACAATAGCAGCAACAAATGCTTTTGAAAACCCCAAAATATATGTAATCACCCTATCTATAAAAATATATATAATGACCCTACAAAGTCTTGGGTGAGGAGTAAAAAAATAGGTACATCCAGTTTTCCCAACTGCTGTATCCAGTACAGGACAGTGGGGATGAGCCAGAGCTTTAACCAGCAAGCAAAAGGTGCAAAGCAGGATACACCCTCGATGGGACACCAGTCCATACCAGAGCCAATTAATCCCAGAGACTGGAACAACCGGCAAACTTGAGGAGAACATACTGTACAAGCTCCTTGTAGATAACACCCCAGGTCTGGAATTGTACCCCGGGTCCCAGCACCGTGGTAAGGAAACAGTGCATCACTATGCCACCCAGTTAAGGTACAATTCATAATCTTTTGATGCACCACATTTTGATTAAAGTAATATCTCTTTTTTTAATTATGGCATTCATTGCAATCGTTGAATGTCTCAAGACTGATAATTCTAGCCTCAACCCTTTTATTCTATTAGTTTATATTACATTTTGACCTTGAAAAGCAATCTTGGCTCATAATATTTCCACTACGTATTTCTCAGATATTCGTATATCAAAACTAGCTCAGAAGGAGAGGTGTTCTACTAGAATGGATTCCCTCAATACCAAATCCTGCTAGTTTGCGATATATTGCAAGTAGCATTAGGAATGTGAAAGACTGACAATGAGCTCCAAATAATAAATCATTAATAATTATACATGTTGTACATAAAATACATATAACACGTTATGGGCACCAACAAGATTAACTGGCATTTCTACTACTTGCTAAACTGTGGGATAGTGCAGTTACTTATTCTGCAGGGGCAGTCCATTGTAGCGACATGCGCTCAATCAACAATTTTAAACCACACCGCATTACCAACAGCAAAGGCTGCAGATAGCCTGCGTCGATCGTGTTAAAAGAGAGGTGAAATTTTCTAATCTCCACAAGGCTTCGCTGATAAGCAGCACAGTAGCATTAAGTAAACTCACGTGAGGCCATTGAGCCAGTGACAGGGTGCTGGAATGACAAGGAGAAGCTGGTCCCAGTGTAGGGGAGGATCTCAAAATGAAAATCTACAGATGAACCTGTGTAAAACAGCACAGAACAACAGGTGAATACGTTGACTTTCATTACTGCTTTCTGGTTCTCGCCATCCTCTTTGTCTTTGTTTTTCACTGATTAATTTTTCCTCTTCTCAGATAATTTAAAGAATTTGTTAAACTCAGGCTTTCAGTAATACCTCAGACAACTCCAGTGCTGGACTGAAAAAGTTAATATGTACATGTTTCCTACACAAAGAGACTGATATATGCTTTGAACTGGATTAAAAAAGGAAAGTCTGATAGAGGAATGATGTGAGAAGTTAGAACTTTACACAGTAATTGTAAAGTAGGCTAATTAAAAAAAAGATACTGTTCAAGAGATGTAAAGGATAACAATGAACCTATGCACTTCATGGTCTTTTTTTCTTCTTAATTAGAATGATTAAAAATCACAGCTAGATGGGTATAAGGTTCAATTAAGGAAGGGACAATTCTTTAAACCTACAGTACAGAACTAGAACACGGTACAGCTTACAGGTTCAGCCCCTTGGTCTTGAGGATTCCAAATATTTTTTTGCATTGACATTCTGTAGTGTCGAATCCCAGGGGCAGAGAGCTGGTATCAAGGTAAAACTGAGAAGCCTGTTGACTTTGCAAAAACTGTTACTATTCAGTTATTAGCAGGGTTGGTTCCCTCCCAATTCCAATTTCCACTTCAATTCCACAAGAGTAAAAAATGAGCTGAACTGGTTTGAAAGAGGAAAGCCATATTGAAAAAATAGAACTGCCCCCCCCCCACCCTAGTAATTACAGTGGCACTGCATATACAGGTGGCCTGCACAAGGCTTGAAAGCTAAAAAGAGTTCACATTCATACAATAAGTAACCTAATTCGTTTAACATGGATAAGTGCAGCGCTACCCAAAGGTCTCAGTAGTGGTGGTTCTAAGAGCACTGATTAACACATGGCTCAAATCAGCCTGAATATTCATGACTTTCTGTGCAAAACCAGCCTTACTGAATTTTTGTGAATTTGCAGTGATTGTTAGCAAGACTGCTCTGTATAGTCCTATAAGGCGTTTTCAGAACAACAAGGACATTTGGCTAGTTAGAGGAAGCTGACCTTCACTACTGCACAGGGACATGATGGACAAATTAAACATGACCTATGGACACGACCCAAGGTGACTCTTATTCCTTCCAACATTTGAAGTCTGTTCTCCACGGTGCAGTTTCAAAACAATCATTCTTTGAAGTCTTATGTGGTAATGCTGGAGGCAGAGGCTTGATTTGACCCATGTTCTTCAAATCTGCCGGAAAATATAATGGCGGTGTAATGCGAGAAAGGGACAGCAGAAGCAAGCCATCATGGGTGTCAAAACATTGCCCACAGAAGGTCAAAGGTCAAATCAGAGAAGTTGAAAGATCACCAGATATGGGCCTCATTTCCTTATCCACTTTAAAAAAAAAAAGATAGCTTTAGCTTTAAAAAAAACAGGATAGCTATATTATGCATATATCAGCATTTTTTTGTGGCTTATATACATTACCTGAAATGGTGCTAATGCGATCATGCTGTGATAGGTCTAACACTTAAAACTTTCAGGTAGTTTGCAGGATAATAACCTCTCTTGATTGAAGCTTAGGGAGTGAAACACAGTTAAGCTGCCTCTACAGTTTCAGTATTAAAACTGAAGATGTTCTGACATTAATCTTCCCCACAACACAGTTGTTGAGCAGTTGTTGAAAGAGCAGTGAGAATAATTAAACTTTTAGGAAACGGCTTGACTATGTGACAAAAGGGCTGTGTGTGAAGAGACATTATTGCTTATTTATTCCAGTTATAAATCTCCTTGAGCACAGCTGCATGGTCTATTGTACATATTGTTAGGTTTGCAGTGTGAAAACAGCCAGATGGCTTAAATGTGTACATGTGGAATGGAAACATGCACAGTCAGGTGCTGCTGCTCAGTCATTCAGAGACCATATGCAGGTATTTCTGCTGAATTTGCATACTTATTATTAAAAATGAGACACGAATGTAGAGAGAATGTGATATTCATCTCTTTACTACAATCCAAATGACACTCGGTCGGGTAAATTCTGTTCTTTTAAATCATGAGCTTTGCAGCTCTAGGAACAATAGTCAAAGAGTGCAGCCTAACAGCATTACAGTTGTATGTTTCAGGGACATGAAACACCTAACATAAGTTGAATCAAGTCAACTTTACAACTCTAAAGTACTCAGCATGCGCATCCATGAACAAAGTTATTGTATGTAAAAGTGATAAGTCCAAACACAAAATAACCTTGTTCATTAATAATTCCTTACACTTATATAGTGGTTTTCTAGACACTTCATTGGTATTGGGGACTCCCCTCCACCACCACCAATGTGCAGCCCCAGCTGGATGATGCAACATCAGCCATAGTGCGCCAGTACGCTCACCACACATCAGCTATTGATGGTGAGGAGAACAGAGTGATGAAGCCAGTTCATAGATGGGGATTGTAAGGAGGACATGCCTGGTAAAGGCAGGTGGATAAGTCCAAACTACAGTACTGGGGTTTTGGTAGGTGTGACCGCCTGTAAGTAAGCTAGTCCACTATTCTACAGAGATTTTAATTCAAGCCCTTTTGCCATTCCTGCCCATCTCCACTGACAAGATCCTGATGTTGTAAAATCAACTACCCAGCACCCGCCTGGTTGAGCTCGCTTCCCAGTGACACAGCTGGCGATCAGGGTGCTGAAGGCAGTCTGGTGTCGCAGCAGGCTCAGAAGAGAGGGCACGTGACCAGGGTGGGTGAAGGGAATCTTGTGGACGAGAGCTCCTTCCCAGGGCTTCAGCCACCACTGCTGAGATATCACATAGCCTTGTCGATGGTGCCCAGGAAGGGTCTGCCCCATGAAAGAGAAGACGAGCTCATTCAGCAGTACAACGTAGGTGTGAAGCTCGTGTCTGAATCATGTGATGCATTTTTGTTGTGGAACACAGTGAGCTCCATCCTATATCTAAAGCGCTTTGGGATAAAGAGTATTATAGTAATGCATTAGTTTTATTAGTATTATTTGCTTCACATCTTCAATTGTGCATTCCACATTTCACCAAATAGAGCGGCACACGGTGAGGATTTTCCTTGATTCTTCTAGAGTGCTAAACAAAATAATTATCAATAATAATTATTGTCATCATCCATATGATGAGCAACGCCTGAATAACTGTTTAACCAATCCTACATCTGGTTTTTGGAGTAACGTGATTAAAGGCTTAAAATTCACAGCTATGCAAATCTTATATATTTTATATTATTCAAAATAATTTACACCGATAAAAGAGTTTAGCCATTTCGTTTTAAGCTAAAGTTCAAACTTAACAGACCTGTATGTTGTAGTAAAAACAAAATCCATAACTTTTATGTAAATGTTTTAGATTTATGTTAATGACAAGAAATAGAAGACAGTGAGTCACTTCGATTTGAGTGAAAAGTGTGACTACAACATTTCGTGTGGGCTTTTCTTCTCAGCAAGACAAATCTGCATTAACAGGCAATGTTGTTCTAATAGAAAACACTAGTGAATTAGTAAAATAAGTTAGGGCCCATAATGTACTGTACTACCTGTATACTTTGATTGTCTCCAAGATCTCTACACACTTTTGCGGGCTCAAATGCAAATAATAAGTTTCCACTTGTTAAATTATGCCTAAGCATCCCATAATTAAAACAGGGTCAGAAAATTGAATTTTTCTGCATTACAATAAGGGATCCTATGCTTAAGCCAAATGTCAATCCATACAGTATACATGGTGCCCTGGCACACATAACTTTCATATTTCTCATGAGAAGATGAATATTTATAGGTATGAATCTACTGTATGTTCTGTAAGGTAATAACCACATTTTCCCCACTTTTTCAGAATGGTGCTCAGTTTGGCATTTCAGCTGTTCCAAGGGACCATGGCGCAGGATCTATAGGCCTCCACCCATAAAGAGATTATCAGACTGATTACAAGCTCTCATTTTGAATTATCCTCTCACAAAATTAATGTTTAGAAAGCAAACCACATACCACCAAAAAGCAACAACTGTCGCTGCCCCAGGTCGTCACGTTCATTTTTGTCTTCATCAACAACTCGTAGAAAGGAACCTGCTTCAGGTCTTCACTCACAGAAATCCCTGCAGAAAGAAGGTCATTGCCATTTCTCAAGAGTTTTGGGACACTTGCATGGCCACATCTGCTTCAGGTATATGAAATAAACACATCAAATAATCAGCTTAGTATGTCCATTAAAAAACAAAACATACAGCAAAATTAAGAGAAATTTACATCAAGTCTTCTCCTGAAAAGGCAGCAATATTGCTCCATACATTGAATTCTGAAACTGGATTTAGACAGTGGAAGAATGAAAGATGGAATTAATTTTCACAGTACATTTCTTTACTTCTTTAGTTTAAATATTGGAAGAATGAAGCACTTTGCAACAAAGTGACTTTTTTTTTTCTTTTTATTCCTTGTTCTGTTATTAAGCTGTGAAACTGGAACAAAAACATAGGTTGTTTTCAGCTAAGAGTTTTAATAATTCAAAGCAAAGATACAGTACAATGTTCCCAACAGTGCTCGGATAGGTCTGTAGTCAGGCAACATGCTCACCATGGAAACAACAATGCAGAGGAAAAACTTGATCACAACCTGTAAGCCTGTGAAATTCTTCAATGAAGCAGGAGAGAATGGGTACAGGCCGGGGAAACTTCAGGAAGAGACAGGCTGACAACTCCATGCTGACCAAATCATCCAGAGTTGCGTGTACTGGGAACCTACAAAACCACCACCAGGATCCACAATGGGCAATATCTCAGAGCTATGCCAATATCATATTAGAACAGTGTTGGATTTAATCATCTACAAAACACCACCATCATCATCCATAAGTGCATCTTGTCATAAGTGACATCTCTGCTACACCACTCTCATTAGAGTAGCCAGTTGTCAATTTAAACAACGTACGCAGTTAGATTTTTTTATTTAAATGTAAATTTTTTTAAATGTGGAGAGATGTCCTTTTGCATGACACCTTTCTTGCCAGAAGCCATGAAGTGAACTATTATGTGCAAGAAGGTAGAGCTCGAAGCCCTTATTTTGAGATTTATACAGAAAACCCAGTTTTAAACTCTACTGGGTGAAAAGTAACCAAGGCTCTCATGAGTGTGTGAGTGAGTGAGTGAGTGAGAAAGGGGGGTCTGGACCAGTGAGGATATAAAAGAACAGAAATGTTTCCTTTTCCACACAATCAATATTAATTTCATCAGGATTTAACACCACTTCTAATATTTCCTAACCTAAGAACACAAAGAGGAGGCAACAGGACTGCTGTTTGAGTAAAAATTAACATGGCTCGAATGCTGAGGCAGAAGAGGCTGGGTTAAAAGGGTTCAAGACTGACTTGGATGTGCAAGAGAGACATCCAGTCCACTGCCTGACACCTTAGCTCTGCGCTTTGCTCTGTAGATTTGTAGAGCTGAAAGTGAATGGTACAAGCTGTGTGCATTACACAATGATACATTATACATTCATGATAATGGAGGGAAAAAAAATCAAAATTACAAAAGAAAACAATTAGCTAAATGCTCCTCCATTACTTGTATCCAACGTTACCCTTCATTTGTCATCTGTGGCGAGTCTGCGATCACAGATGCACTTGGAAGCCTTTGTATTGTGTTGGTTACCTCGGCAGTGACAAAAACTTTGTTTCCACAGGACCTTGATTCTGGAAAAAAAAGGTTTTGAAATTTTGAGTTTTATTTACGTTCTACTGCCACAGACAGCCTTTATTATTGTTTGACTCTTATACATCCTGTTTTCTATTTACTTACATTTTAAAAAAGTACAAGTAGATGGGGTGGCACTGTGGCTCAGTGGTTAGCCTTGCTGCCTTACAGCACTGGGTCCCCGTGCTCACTCTGTGGTCTGTGTGGGTCCTAATACCCCTTTATAGTGATGGGGAAAAATATAGCACTCTCCTTCAGATGAGACGTAAAACCAAAGTCCTGACTTTCCATGGTCACTAAAAATCTCAGGGTGTTTCTTGAAAAGAGTAGGGGTGTTACCCTGGAGTCCTGACCAAATTTCCAATCGACTGAAATGCAAATGTAGAGATGACCGATTCAGAGTTAAGAATAAGCTAGTTAGCGAAGTCACACCAAACCAGCATGCTACCACATCCTGTGCGAGAGTAAATGACCTCTCTACATACTCCTTTAAGATCTGACTTTCAGGCAGTTCTGTAACTACAAGTGGATATTGACTTACGAATCAAAATGCAGCGCTATTACATTGTGCTTGCTGCAGTCTTTTTGACAATCCCATCCATTTTCTATCCACTTCATAGAATTCAGAGTCATAGGCGAGCTGGAGCCTACCCCAGCAAGCAGTGGGCACAAGGCAGGATGCACCCTGGAGGGGACACCAGTCCCACACAGACACAGAAGCCAATTAACCTGCCGGTACACGTCTTCGGGTGGAAACCAGAACACCCAGAGGAAACCCACATGAGCATGGGGAGAACATACAAACTTGAGGCAAACAGCACCCAGGAATGGGACCTGGAACCTCGGCACTACCAGGCAGCAATACTAACTGCTGTGCCAGTGTGCCACCCCTTTTCACAACCACCATAGAAAAACATTTCTGAACTTCTGTTTCTGAGCGAGAAACAATGACGGCCCTTACCTGGCTTCATTTTTTCTTCTAACAAGTCATATGGAGAAATGTAGTACTCTATGCTCATTGGGTACCCTGCAAACATTGTAAAATACTTCTGTGACTGTGACTCCAGATGTCATTTTGTTTAAAAAAAAATGTGCAACAGTATATACTTCAAAACTCACTATTTCACAATACCATTATGAATATTCTTAATACAAAGTTGCATTACACAGTATCTTGCAAAGAAAAAAAAACAAATATTAACCAAGGCCTTTCATGAAATGCCTTGGGAAAAAAAAAAATTAAGGATCAGGATAGATTCTTAGTTATACCATTGTTCCTTGGCGTTACATTCCCAATTCGTCCATGGAGCACATTGTCAAGCCAAGGGTCACCACTGCTCACTGGTCTGAAGGGAAGAAAGAGGACGTTCTACCTTATATCCAGCTGTGTCCTGACAGACATTATGAAAGTAGCTTCAATAGCATGACAGAGGAGCTCTTGCCAGTCACCCACTATTATAGTCACTACACTTATTTAACTTCTAAATCCTTTCCCAGAGAATTCCAGTTCTGCCCTCAGATCCTTGTTTTATGGGGGGTTTCTGTATGTCTTCTAATTTTGCTTGAGCCAATGAAAACAGTCCTATAGCTCTTTGGGTTTTCATTGCTACAGTTCATTTCTTCTCAAGGAAACACCGTTTACCCTGTGTTACCCTGGTTTAGTGGTTTTTCTTTGAAGAGTGAGGAAAGGGGGTTCCCCCGGCACCGAGAACATTTACACAAGAGAACCTCCCAGGAAGTCCATCCATGTTAGATGAGTCTTGATTCTTGATTTGAGGTAAATATTAAAGTGTTATGTTCCTTTGGTGCATCACAGCTGTGCTTTACAAAGCGCTACGTTTAAATTTAAAAGAAAAAAACTTTCTTTTTAAAAATGTCAGTGGATGGACAGTACTTATCTAGAATTCCACCCAACCAATTTCTGCTGCTGCTTCTTCCAAATCAGGGTCGCGGTGGAGCCGGAGCCTATCCCAGCAAGCAATGTGCATGAGGCAGGGTACACCCTAAACAGGACGCTAGCGACACTCACACCTGGGCCAATTTTCCCAGAAGCCAATTAACCTACCAGTAGGTCTTCCAACTGTGGGAGGAAACTGGAGCACACAGAGCATCTCCACACGAGCACAGGGAGAACATACAAACTCAGATAACACCCCAGGTCTGGAATTGAACCCAGAGCTGCAGCACTGCTAACTGCTGACACTGTGATGCCGGTCGCTTGAATTGAAATATTTCACAACCTATTAACAGAAGACAAAGCTCAGGGATGTATAATGAAAGTCTAGCACAGCTAATGCAGGGTGCCATAACTGAAATCAGACAGGTTTGAAAGGTTTGGAAGACATGTGCCAGACAGGTGGGCAGTGGAACAATACCTGTAAGGCTTAACTTTTCTCAATCGCCTGTTCACATAACACTGTATGTGAAAAAAAAAAAAATCACTGAAAGTGATCTGCTTCTGGACGTCTGAAATCTACATCTTAATCTATGCTACATTTAGTGTGCTTTAATTAACCAAATATAAAAAAAATCATTTTAAAACTCAGGGGAGAATGAGCTTCTGCCCTCAGTCACCAGTTGCTGGAACACAATTGGTCTGTTGACAGTTTTAAAAAAAACAAAAAGCAAAGGCTTCCAACTTTTAAGGGACTCGGAACTCAGGACAAGAGACTTGTATGTTTCAGAGTATCGAGAAGAGACCAAGTATTTTTATACTAAGCTGGTAAGCAGCTTAGCTACCTGGCAATTTGGATAGAGAGGACCTTGAAGAAGTTGGTTAGCAGCACAAAAAGGAGCTATGGACCGTCTTTTTCCCTATACCTGCTCCAATATACAAGTATGATAGTATCCAAGCCAATTTCCTGTTTTCATTTGAAATCACTTTTCAGAATTTTTTAACATTTGTTTTTCACTTGGAGGTTACTATGTAAATTAATTGATTTCAGGTTGTTAGGCCACAAAATGTGTTACTTTGAAAAAGGTGTGTAGACTTTCTATAGGTGCTGCATAATTCTAAGTGAAAACCGCACAGACGTTTTCTGCATTCTAAGATCTTATTACATTATTCTTTGGGTATTTAATATCATATTGCTCTCCTTAAACACTACAGTAACAAAGTATGCTCTGACACAGTGTCAATAATAGTCATTTATAAAGGCTTTAAAAGCAGTTTAACACACCTGGGAATCTGGAACATTTTCAAAAGGTCTTTCTCCACAAATTGCAAAGCTGAAAACATCTTCATATTGGTTTCACTGTAGCAAAATCGAAATTTAAAAGTTGATTCAACAAATTGTGGACGTACTGTAAAATATAAAATTTACAGTCGTGTTATGCAGTGGATACCTATCTCCAGATGTATTGAAAAGAGATGAAAGTCCTTCCAATTCCTTTCCAAACTCTTCAAAGTTTTTCAGCCTAGTACATTAAAAATGAGATTAATTATGAAACACTCGATATAAAACTTCAGCTGGTGAATCGTTTTTTGAGGATGTTACTGCTCTGAAATAAAGTCTGTGTACTGCAAACATTAATGGTAGGATTCTATTTTTCATCTTTCTACTACAATGTATTCAGAATTTCATGAATCTGTATTAAAGGGGCCAGAATGTACAGTAGCTACTGCTTTGTACTTTAGCTCTTAAAAGCCTCAAGAGAAAAGATTACTTGCATTTAATCAACTGTAGCTCATAAATTCCACTTGCAAACTTTACAAGCGCCATGCTGTTAACTGTTATGCATTAAGACCTGAGAATAAAAAGAGAGGTCAACCTAACTGTGGAATTATCCGCGTTGACATCTATTTTAACATTGTAAATTAGTGATAATACAGTATGTAGCCATTTTTCACATTTCTCTGAGTCCTGGAGAAATGACTATACTACTTGCATGTCAACAGAACTCATAATTTGAAAAGAGCACATTCAGCACCAGTCATGTTGCATCTCCTTACCTTAGAAGATTGCATAGCATTTCAGAAGACTGCAAGACAAGCAAAAGGCACTTCAGAATTGCACACAAGCAGAAAATCAGTATGGCGCAGTTCACGCAAATGAATGTCCAAAATTAAAAAGGAGCAAGATGGATCATCCCCATTCTCTGATTTGAGCATAAGCACTTGTGTATACACAGGTTAAAATTACAAATGACATCAATATGTTCACTGTATGCTTGTGTACCACTGATGAAGCTTTACATTATCAAAACATGCAATTTTCTAGTCTTTCAAATTTATACTGTAGCAGTCTTCCTGAGACACAAGCCATTAATCACAACTGTATCCATTTTCAATATTATCTGCTTTTTGAATACACTTAATGCGGATGGTGAAAATAAAATCGTATCAACTGAATAGTCTCCTGATCATCTATACAGTATTGTGTATTTACTATATACACTAGTATTGAACAGCCTGTTTTCCAAGTTCAGCAAGAGGCAAATCTCATGTAATGTTGACATAAAGTGGTAAGTTTTTCAGACCTAGCATTCAAACTCAAAGTTGCATATGTTCTGATCAATTTTTTTACAATAGTACATTTGACACTTCACATTTAACCTCGCAATACCTTCAAAATAAATTCACCAATACGCATAATACATAGGTGTCAGAATGACATATGCATGTCATATGAATGAATATTTCA